AAAAAAAGTAGTTGACAACTTCAGTCTTCTCCCCATTTATCATCATGTTACTTATATGGTCCAGTTGTGAAGATTTTTTTCTTTATATTGAGGTGCAATCCATACTGAAGGTTTTGGTCTTTGATCTTCACCAGTATTTTAAGTCCTCTTCACTTTCAGCAAATAACTTTCTATCATCTGCAGAGCATAGGATGCCAATCCTGATGCAACACTCTCCATATAATCCAGCTTCTTGGATTATTTGCTCAGCATACAGATTGAGTAAATATGGTGAAAGAACAGCCCTGGTACACACCTTTACTAACTTTAAACTATTCATTGTCTCCTCGCTCTGTCTGAATGACTGCCTCTAGTTCTAAGCACAGGTTCCTCATGAGCACGATGAAGTGTTCTGGAATATCCATTCTTTTCAACGCAATCCATAGCCTGTTATGATCCACAAAGTCGAAAGCCTTTGCATACTCAATCAAGCACAAGTAAACTTCTGGTATTCTCTGCTTTCAAGATCTGTCTGACGTCAGCAATGGCATCCCTAGTCTCATGTTCTCCTTTGAATCCAGTCTGAGTTTCTGACAGTTTCCTATCGATGTACTGTTGCAGCTGTTTTTAAATTACCAACAAAATTTTACTTGCATTGATATTAATGATATTATTTGATGATTTCTGCATCCTATTAGGTTACCCCTCTTTGGAACTGGCACATATATGGATCTCTTCTGATCAGTCAACCAGACAGATTGTTGTTGTGAGGTGCCTTCGAGTCGATTCCGACCCATAGTGACCCTGTGTAGGGCTTCCAAAGATTACCTGGAAGTTCAAATCGCTGACCTTGCAGTTCAAATGGCTTTGCAGTCTGTTGCATTAACCCACAGCACCACACCGACAGATCTGTTGTTGTTGTTAAGTACTGTAGAGTCGGTTCCGACTCATAGTGACCCTTCACAAAGTTTCCAAGGCTGCAGATCTTTACAGGAGCAGAAAGCCTCATCTTTCTCCCACAGAACCGCTGGTAGTTTCGAACTGCCGACCTTGAGGTTAGCAGCTTGATTCGTAACCACTGTGCTGAGCTCCTTATTAGATATTTCTAATTAACCAAAGCAAACTACTGTAGTAATTATGGATTCCACTAGAGGGAGTGACTGTATCCAAAGTCTTGTGTAAAAGTCAACAGAAAATGCTCATTGGTGTCAGTGAAAAATGCTTTCTGCTGCTGCTGGTGTTCTGGCACAAGTTTAGGGTGAAAGACTATTACTTTCCAAGGATGACAGGGTTACACTCATTCACCCTACATGCTTTTTAGCCCTGAGATTATAAGTCCTCGGTGGTACAAATGGAAACACCAGTCAAGAAATCAAACGTTATACTGCCTTAAAGAAATCTGCTACACACGACCTCTAAAGTGTTCAAGAGCAAAGATGGCAGTTTGAGGACTAAGGTGTGCCTGCACCAAGCCGTGGTATTTTCAATAGCTTCAAGTGCCTATGAAAGTTGGACAATGAATAAGGAGGACTGTAAAATTGATGCATCTGAGTTATTATATTGGAGAACATTAAAGGTACTATAGACCGCCAAAAGGACAAACAAATCTACGTTGGAAATACAGCCAGAGTGCTCCTTAGAAGCGAGATTGGTAAGACTTTGTCTCTCATACTTGTCAGGAGGGACCAGTCTCTGGAGGAGGACATCATGCTTGGTAACGTGGAGGGTCAGTGAAAAAGAGGAAGACCCCCAATGAAATAGCCCAGCACAGTGGCAGCAGCAATGGGCTCAAGTGTACCAACAATTGTGAGGATGGTGCATGATCGGGCAGTGTTTCATTCTGTACTGCATAAGGTTGCTAAGAATTGGAACTGACGTGATGGCCCCTAACAACAGCAACAACAACAGGTGGTGTAAATAGTTAAGTACTTGATTACTAACCAAAATGTTGGTGGCTCAAACCCACCCAGAGGGCATCTTGGAAGACAGGCCTCGGTTGCCCTAAGTGGGAATTAACTGGAAGGTAACATGTTTGGTTTGGTTTTAGTATCAAAAGTTCATTTCCGCTGTATGGAGGGCATAAGAGCAAGGGGAGGATGAAGAGGAGAGGATTAATTAGTGTCAAGTTAGCAGCAGTTGAAATCACGTCACCAAATGCACCACGCCTCACTGCAGTGGGAGCCAGGGACCTGAAGAGCTGCATCCAGGTATATATCATCCCCTCAAAGGCAAGAGTAAGGAAACATCCCCAGCAACCGTGTCTCAGGTAACCAGCAGGTACTTACATAGCCCCTGTGTCCTTCTGTAATCATGAAAGGGACATGATTAGAAAACTTCTGAGGGGAAAAAAAAAGCAGAAATTTCAGTGCTAAAAATGGTAGAAATATAACATAGGTATATTCCCACAAGGGAATCAAAAAGGCTGAGTAACTTAGTAAACTATTTTGAGGTTTACAAAACCATGACATTAACACAAAAAAAGAATTCTTTAAAACTACAAGTCAAAATGTTCCACAAAATAAAAATTCTCAAGTACCTGTTTTTAACAGACAGAGGTTTTTGTGAGACCACTTGAAAAATCAATTCAAGAATAAAATCTGAGAGCTGTTTTTAAGCTATGTTTAATCCCTACTGGAGATGCTTTTCAAAGAAAAAAACTTGTATATATATTTATTTTTTAAAAGCACATTATATGCTTCCTGATGGAACACTATCTCATATTACCTACAGCCTGTACCAGTCTTTTCCCCCAAAAAAAGCAGATTTTAAAAACGGAAGAAGGAAAACAAAACCCATCACTGATTCTCATTAGAATTTTAAATGACTCTTAAGAACATTCTAGTTTTCTTTTCATAGCCAACAAATTATACAGGAGAGGAGATTAAGAAAACAAATTTACCATTCCCCAAACACAAGACTTCTTTTTTCAAGGCCTGAAGGGGAAGAGTTCTTTATACCCAGTTAAGAATCTCCAAGCATTTTACAAGAATGGATCACTTTCAAAGTATTATCATAAATTTTCTTTTGTGATAGGAGAAATGCATTAAAAAGAAACCAGTAAGTGACAGAAACTCCCAGAAAGGGAAATACTGCTGTATCTCCATTATACCCCCTTTTTAACTCTACATTATAGGATTCAAGAAATCCTGAAGCACCCCAGAATTGACAGCATTATCACAGTGAAATGGCAGCACTTTCTCTTACTTAATAAAACATTGGCATGAATTATAATTTATGTCCTAATACTCTGTGACATTCAGTAATTGCCAAAACTAATTTTTAATTCCCTGCTCTACCCTAAATTGAGCTCTCTGTCAAATGCCAGGAATATAGGAAGGGTGTCAAAGGGTGGCGTAAAGTTTGTACATTAACACACTCAGATACCATGATACACAAAACAAAATTGCTGGTGTCCACTGATCTGGTGTCCATTTATGTGGTGTCCATGACCACATAAAGAACTTTATTCTACTTCATTGTGACTTCTCTCGAGTCCGGTTGGTTCCACATCACCAACCACTGCAGGTTACAAAACTTCCATGGACTCTGAACCAACAGCCAGGGTCATTTTACGAAACAAACAATAAAAATAAACTTTTTCTTCAATGTCATCTTCAAGGGGGACAAAGTTTATTTGTAGAGAGGTTAAAAAACCCAACTCAGATATTTCCAAAGACAACTGCCAATTAGTTATCCTACCACTATCTTCCGACAGTCGTAGGTTACAGACTTTACAAAGAGCAACAGCAAGTTGGGGAGTGAGCAGATTTGGGCTACCCCCAAAAGAAAGAAGGAGAGAAAACAGTAGTTTTAGAACTATCACTGAATGGAGCTCTGAGAGTGGTTCAAAAAGCCAGGGTAAATTATTTGATCTTGAGAGTAATTACCAAATCAAATTGGAAAAAAAATTAATTAGATACCTAATTGCCCAGAGGCAGTAGTGTTAGGGAAGAATGGCTATCACCCTTCACAACAACAAAACTCTCATTGTTGTTAAGTGTCCTGGAGTCAGTTCCCACCTAAGGAGCTGCTGGTGGATTTGAACCACCGATCCTGAGGTTAGCAGGCCAGTACTTATCTTACAGCACCACAGTAGGACTCCACTGGTATTAGGCTTCGCTTTTCCTGGTTCTTTAATGCATGCAATTCATATCATATAATCTTTATTGATGAAGACACTGAAGTTCTTCTAAAATGCTGAAAGTTCAAAAAGTAAATGCCCAGGAGTAAATTAAAAAGAAGAGAGATGCTGTAAGCCCAAAGAACCTTGCACGAAGTTTATGTAATAATGGTGTGTTTATTTAGATTAAGGCAAAAAGTGCACATTTTTAATTTTAAAAAGTACATTAAAAACTGAACTGCTCTGTAAACCCTCACCCAATTCACACACACACACACACACAAACGGGTGATCTAAAAAAAAAAAAAAAAGCACATACTATCTCTAGCACAAGAACGAAGGCATAAGGCTCTGTATGGACAAGAGGGCCCTTTAAACAGCGCCAGCAGATTCGACAATGCAAGGTTCTTAGAATACTTCCTATTTATTCCGAGTTTTGACTAACGTTCTTTACCCACCCCCACATTTTCCATTATTTTCAATCTAGATCTACACATCAAGCGAACACAGAAGCTGTTACTGCTGCAAAATGTTTAAATGTTTGGATTTAACATAAACAACAAAACACTTCCCAAATTCAGCTTCTGAACTTGGCAGGCCCTCATTCTTACAAACTTCAAAGAGCAAAGTCGTTTTGCATTTAGACCACTCAACATCGAGAAGCTTGAGGAATTTTTCTGAGCAGCTATGGGATATGATTTTTGGCAGGGAAAACTCAAGCGTCTCCACTCATTATCAGCATTCTACAAGTAGGTCACCAGAGTTTGCACATATGTGACTTTGCAGAGGGGGAAAATGTTCCTGTCTGAGTCTTTAAACATCAAACCTGAAGACACGCGGGCACTCTACAGTCAACGCTAAAGTTGGGGCTTCCAGCTCCTGTTCCAACAGCCATACCTACTTTTTAAACCACAAGATTTCCTCAGGGTCCGCGATGCCGAACTCCCTCATCTTCTTCACCATGGTGGCACTCTTCCTGACAGCCATCTCGTAACGCTGGCTGCGCGTGAGGAAGTTCGGGTCCTCATGCTGGAAGTCGGGGTCGTTCAGAATCAAGTTCTCTGGAAGAGAGGAGGGCACAAAAGAGGAAGACAAATTCAGGGCTCTGGGAATCTGGCATGGGCAGAGCTGTCCTTTTCGGGATGGGGTGATGTGTCTTCCCCTGCCCTCCCGCGACGTGGTGGTGGTGGTAGGGGATCCCGGGGACCAGCCCCACAGCGCCCCCCAACTCCGCATCGAGGGAGGAGGGCAGGGCAGGGCCGGCTAAGCCCGGATCGGGGCAGGAGGGAGGCCGGGCACCGCCCTCACCAATCTCTCGCCGGCGCTGGGTGTTTTGGGGGCTGCCGTCCAGGACGTGCGTGAGCAGCTCCGGGTTGAAGCTGGCGGCGGCCCGCTCCCTGCGCAGGTCTGGGTTCATGGTATCAGGCGGTGCTGCTGGCGGTGACGGCTAAGACTTATATCCGAAGCTCCAGCGCCTGCTGAACCCTAAGAGCGCCGGGGAGGACAGCGGAGTCCCCGCCTACGGCACGCCCCTTTTCCTTCCCCGGCCGGCCACGACTCGTGACTGGTTCAGGCTGAGGCGGACCGACCTCAGCTCCGTGACCCACAGCTGGCTCCGAGGTGAACGAGTCCTTGGCTCTCGGCCAGGGGAGGCCCTGAGCGGGCACCCGGGAAGGGGACCCCAAAAGGTGGTCAAGAAGTTGCAGGGAAAAAACTGAGAAGAGAGGCACTTCGGACAGCCCGCCCCTCCCTTGCCACGTGACCACAAGGGGCAGAAACACGGAACGTGAGGCTGCGACGCCGGCGACGCCGAGACCAGGTTAGCAAAACGATGGGAGAAGGGTCGGGCGAGGCCGAACAAGGTTGCGCCTGCGCCGTGGGACACTTTTGTCCCTCCTCTTCCGGGTGTCCATACGCACAGCCCCTTCCCCCGGAAATGAAATAAGAAAGGACACTCAAGGAGCTGGGGGTGATAAACCTGTAGGCCGAGCCGAATTACTAGGGAAAGTCGTGGGATTCCCGAAATCATTGTTATGTTGTAAAAAGGGGGATGGGAACAAAGACGTAGTGAGGACAGGCTCCGGTTAACTCTTGTTAAAATAATGGTATCTTTGCTCCTAGAAGCGTGGGCTGTGTGGGAACCTGGGTGTGGTATTATCGGTGCTCCCCAGTTTCTCGCAGGGGCGTGAATTGAGAGTGTGACGGAGCTGGAAGTGTGCTTGCAGGAATGCTGACACTTGTTTGAGTTCGCTAGTATCTTCATCAAAATAGGAAAATCCCGTAGTTTTAAAACCCAGTTCAGAAGGAACAAGAGTGCCCTCTCTTATGAAGCAGCAGCTTTTAACAGTTGTTAAATAACTGATAAATAATAGGATTTTCCAGAAGTGACTGGTGGGTTTGAACCGCCAACCTTGCAGTTAGCAGTTCAGTGCTTATCCTACAGTGTTCCTTTTCATTATCTTTTGACTTCATGAGACAAGATCGTGGAGATAAGCACACTACACCATCCCTTCCTTGTTAAATGTCATATAGGGTATCCAGGAGCGGCTGATGGGTTTGAACCCCTGATCTTGCAGTTGTTAAGTGCTGTGGAGTCGGTTCCGACTTAAAGTGACCCTGTATAGGGTTTCCAAGGAGTAGCTGCAGAACTTGAACCGCCAACCTTGTAATTCAAAACGATTTTGCAGTCCAGCGCGTTAACCCACAGCACCACACCAGAACTCCTTCCCTCATATTTGTTGTTGTTAAATGCCGTCGAGTCGATTCCGACCCGTAGTAACCCTGTATAGGGTTTCCAAGGAGCAGCTGGTGAGCTTGAACTGCCAACCTTGCAGTTCAAACCAACTTTGCAGAGCAGCGCATTAACCTGCAGTGCCACCCCAGCACTTTGTCCTCCCTAATTTGCCATCGTAACTCTAAATAATATGCTTAATTCCCTGTCTTTTAAAACTCAACAACATGTTTAATCTACTTCATTTAGTAAACCCAGTGCCAAGACATGGAGTCCTGGTGTGGCCAAGTAGGCTAAGCACTCTCCACAATGTGCGTTTGAACTAAGCCACTCTTGGAAATCTTATACCAGCGTCCTTATGAGTGGGAACTGACTCAATGGTACTTAACAACAAGTGCCAAGACAGGGTGAGGAGAATGAGTCATTTAACCTTGATCTCAAAAAACACACCCCCCCCCCCGAAATAATCTAGATAAATATTTCAACACATTTTAAAAGTTAATGCAAAAAAAAATCCACAGTGAAGAAAATAACAAAATTTTAAGTAAGACTAGAACAGTATCTGTCTCAGGCGTCAGTATCACTGCCAGAAGAACAAACACAGAAGAAGAAATCTGTGTTGGAAGAAGTACAGCCAGAATGCTCTGTGGAAGCCAAGATAGTGAGACCAGTCCCTGATAGCATGTCCAAGTATGAGAGACAAGTCTAGCTGTCCTGGCTTTAAGGAACATTCTGGCTGTACTTCTTCCAACAAAAATTTGTTTGTTCTGGTAGTCAGTATTCTCTGCCAACATCATTATTCAAATGCATCGATTCATTGTCCAATTTTTACATGCATATGAGGCAATTGAAAATACCATGGCTAGGGTCAGGTATGTTAGTTCACAAACAGTTATCTTTGTTCTTGAACACTTTATTTAAAGAGGTCTTGTGCAGCAGATTTGTCTAATGCAAATGTCATTTGCTTCGTAGACTGCTGCTTCCATGAGTGTTGTTTGTAGATCAAGGCAAAATGAAGTCTTTGACAACTTCAGTCTTTTCTCCATTTATCATGAAGCTCTTTATTAGTCCAGAGTCCTATTGTGGCGCTGTGGGTTAATGCGCCACACTGCAAAGCCATTTAAACTGCAAGTTTGGCAGTTCAAGCTCACCAGATGCTCCTTAGAAACCCTATACATGGTCGCTATGGGTCGGAACTGACTCGATAGCACTTAACAACAACAACAACAAATTTATTAGTCCAGTTGTGAGGATTTTCTTTTGTGTACATTGAAGTGCAATCCATACTTGAAACTGTAGTTTTTGATCGGCATCAGTATTTTAAGTCCTCTTCGCTTCCAGCAAG